CCAGTCTCTCCCTCTCTCTCTCTGATTCTCTCTCCCCCTCCCTCCCACTGCACACACTCACACACACTCACACACACTCACACACACACACACCTCTCTCATAGGCACTGTGGGAAACTGATTCTTATCCACACTCCCTTTGATCTCTGTTTTCCTGTCACCCTGTTGCTGAAATGACTGAAGCCATAACTCATTAAGAAAGACTTGTTCTCTGTGGAATTATTCAACAGGTATCTCTCTCAGGATACTCCTGGGTTTTTGTCCCCTGGAATGTCGAGGCTTCCAGTTCAAAGTATGAAACAACTTACAGAAAAAGTACCTGAGTAAAGAAACACAAAGGAAAAGTTCTTTACACTGACACCTTTACAGATGATATGGAGCATGATTTAACCGGAGGGGTTACCAGAAAGGGGACCTGGCCCTTGGAGGGTCTGCCTAGGGTCAGCTGGTAGTGTGTGGGTTCTTGACTTCCTGCAGGAAAATTTTCACACAAATGAGTCCAGGTGAATTTTAGAGGGTGTTTATTACAGCTGTGGTCAGTGAAAGAAGAAAAGCCTGGGGAACTGAGCCTAAGATGGTCTGCTTTGGGTCACTAAGAAGGCAGAGAAAATGGGGCTTTAGGGACAGGTTCAGGGGTTTTATCTGGGACAAACTACTGCTGCCTAAATTGCAAGCCTCCTGGGGTCCCTTGCAGCTTAGGAGATGCACGCTTGTGAGGAAAGAAAACTAGGGTGGGGGAAGGCTTGGTCGTGCTCCTGGGAAGGAGAGAGCATGCTAGACCTTAGTTTTGAGGGGTTTTAAAGGCTGGGCTTTCAGTGGAGGTCTTAGGGGAGGATCTCAATAGAATATTCATCAGCTTTAGGCTGATGTACTAAAATGAGGTTTATTCTCTTAACGTCATCTGTCCTTGGGTGTGGTTGGTCAACGGCACTAACTGGACTTCTTCCATGTGTCTCCCTGAGTAGGGTGATTTAAGCTATTTACCCTCTGGTTGGGAGAATTGCAAATCATTTACTTTTAAGTGTCCCTGGTTTAGGGAAGACAGGATTCACCAGGTGGCTGCAAACTGCTCGGCATCTTGGTTTGCTAAATGACTGAAAACTGCTATTTAACTCTGTTTCAGTTAGCCTTTTCTGCTTGTCCTGTCTCACAAAGGATGAATTACTTTGAGAGCCATGAGATCTGCTTCAGAGAGGGGTGGGCGGAGAGATTAACTAAAGAACTTATATGCATATATGTATAACCCATGGACACAGATAATAGGCCTGGGGCAGGGAGCGGGTGCGGGGTGGAAGGGGTCAATGGGGAAAAGGGGGACATCTGTAATATTTTCAACAATAAAGATACCTTAAAAAAAAAGATACATAAAGACAAAAAAAAAAAAAAGAAAAAGAAGCCAAAAAAAATGTAGTCACTGGTCTCTCTGACCCAGGCACAAAGCCTTGGAATTTCCCTGGGGCCCTTGAGAAGAATTTCGATTGGTCCGTAGATATTCTCCTTTCCTGCCCCTCCCCTAAGAATTTAACTTTCATTTTCACTCTCACTCTGCTCCTGCGGGTGCTCTTTGAGGACTTCAGGCCCCTGTTTGGAGAGTGAATCCTGACCACGTCTGTCCCCCAGGCTGGAACACCAGAACAAGTGAAAAGGCCTTTTCCCTGGAAGCTTGGGGGTGAGTCTCCCTCTGTTTTCTGAGCAGTGCCTGGGCGGTGCTAGCCCGCCAAGAACTGTGTCTTCCCTTGTTTCAGACCTTGGGGCTGGGAAACGCAGCCCCTCCCACCCCAGCCACCAGAGCCAAGGACTCAAAGGGTGTCCCGTGTGAGGGCTGCCAGGTCCTATGGCTCGGCTGGGGCCGTGGTGGCAGAGGCGGCTCCAGTAGAGTCTCGGGAGGTGGGGCAGGGGTGACTGTCCCCCCAGGGGAGTGGGGTGGGGGCCCTCCCCAGTCAGCTCTGGCAGCGCCGCTGCAGCAAGGGGG